GCCAAAGCCAAGGCTCGTACCCAGCTGCCCGAAGCCCTGCAAAGCCGGGGACGGGTCCGGAGGCTTTCTGTCTGGCGGTTTGGTTTAGGCTTGCCTACACGGCACTCATCTGCCACATGATATTGGCTTCCGAAGCAATCCCAGGATTCAAAGGATCCAACTGGTCCCTTCCTTAGATTCCGTGAGACGCCGGCATTCGGGGACACCAGCTTGAGTTGCCGCCAGCTGGAAGAGCTCTCTAGTGCATTCAGACACCAAGCTTAAGTCACTTCTGATGCCCGTGGCTGCCACATCGCTCTAGCCCGTACTTGTAGTAGCAAGCCAACGCCTTGTAACGATTCTTTGCGTGGTGTCGCTGCTGCTAGGACTACTCCGATCACGATTGCTTGCATCACGCAGTGGACGAGGCCTGTTGCAAGCTGACGCAGTGCGAAGTGATCACTGTTGCTGCCTCTCTTCCCATTGATGCTGCTATGCTAGTTCCAAAACCCCTCAATGCGAATATACGCGGACTTGAAGCTGCAAACTGAACAGGAATCGACATCGAAGCCATTGTCAACTGCCTCCTCGACGACGACGCCCATGTCGACTGCTGCTGTCGATGTTTAGCTCTTGCTGTTGCTGTTGCTAGTTCTACTTCTCTTGTATGTCTATGCGACTTTTTCAACCCTGGCCCCCTGAACACTCCGACAAGGGCGCAGAAGCCCGAGAAAGATACTGCAAATACCAACTTTAGGACCTCAGTGACATCATGGGACTGAAGGAACCTATAGCAGAACAAATGCCACCGGCACCTCCAGTGCCCGGAGAAGCTCGGAGCGTGGGGGAGCTCGGCACGTACCAGGACCCGACCTGCCGAGCAGAGGCCGGGTTGTCGGTTCGAACGCAAGCTGACGGAGTCGGGTTTGGCAGAACCTTCCCGTCCCTCAGCTCTGTGGATCAAGTTGACTGCACTACCAAACCCTTGGTCGGTGCTGGCATTCCGACCTTTTGGCAACACTTGAAAGCTGTCGCCAGTCACTTCGACTTGGACTTGCTCGCAACCACGTCCCTCCAGGAAAAATATGTGCGGGACCCATCCTCGGACTGCAGGTACGTGGCATCCACGTCCTCCGGGATGTCAGCACTCTTGATCTTGTCATTGATGTCATCCTCATCCATGAGGATCTTCGGCGCGATGAGTGCCTTCTTGGGGTGCCGGGCCAGGGCGGACCTCTGCAGGATCCACAGCTTCCAACCTTCGGTGGTAAGCAGCTGCTCGCGGCCGCTCGGGAGCTTTGCTCGGAACACCTCGATGGGTTGCTCGTACCCGATGTAAACGACCTTGTCCACGGCATGGTCCAGCACTTTGGCTGACTGCCAGACGCGGGTCAGCGGCTGGTTGGGAGCCCGGCCCTCGGGTTGGTGATCCGGGATGCTCCTGCAGGCATACCCCACCTCGAAGGGGTCGACCCGCCCCAAGCTGCACATCTTCGAGTGAATGTCACTCTCCTTTGGGCAGGCCGCCCACGTCTCTCTCGGGGAGCTTTGCTCTGGCTCCGCTCCCGCTCGGCGTTGTGTATTCGTCGCCGATAGCAAAGCCCGTGCGAAGAGCCGACCTGCAACCACGCCACAATTGCGATCACAGTATGCGCAATTGCCCCGGCGCAACGTCAATGCCGGCTACTGCACTGCGCTCCTGCGGCTTTGCGCTGCAGCTGCCTGTCCCAACCTCGCACAACATGCACGGCTCACAGCTACGCTGGGTACGACACGGCGAATCACCGAAAGCGACACAGCCTCTATACACCAANNACCAACTACATGCCGTGGATTTTCCTTGCGAGCACCTGGCCTACATCATCCTTGTGCAGCTTCGTTTTGGAGCCTCGCATAACACGGCTCACATCACTAAGAGCCCCTTTAGGACGTGAAGGGCCTTCGTGCTGAGAAGACTCGCGCCAACTCTCACTCCAGCCTGGGCAGAATGAATCGAGATGCAGCCTGAAATCACTCAGCCGCTCGCACACGCGGCCTTCTTCTTGAACGCTGCCTGTCGTCAAGGCGTGTTCTTGCCACATGCTTTGCTTTGGGTGTGGCCATTTAGCTTCGGTCTTCTTCACGAAGGAGATCTTTCATCTTCTTGCTTCGAAACGTTCGACATGCTGCGACTCCTGGAATCCGATGCATCTGTATAATACCTCACTTACTGTATGTCTATTTTTTATGAGGGATTATTGCATGTGGAACAAACTTTCTGAAAGGCCGCGAAGCCAAAAGACCAAGAAGTCAAAAGATCAAGAAGCTGTCGAAGCAACACCCATA